TCAGTTACGCGAGCGAGCCACTTAAACCGTAAGCCTTTTCTTTTGTTATCATTAATATTCTATTAATTTTTCTGAGTGTCTTTTTACTTGGAATAATGAAGACAAGTCTAAATAATCGATATTATAACTGCTCTCTGAAGCAAAGATCTATAATCCTTTCATGAACTGGTGTTTTTTCACATTCGAGTAAAAGGATTGAAAACGCTGATTAAGTCCGCTCAATCTATTCCTTAGGCTTAACATTGCTAGGCAGACTTTACTTTTTTTCAAGTATTGACTGAGTTTTTTATCAGTGGTTAATGCCGGCTTTATATTATACTGCCCTCATCCGTTTAATGAAAAAAATCAAATTAATGTAACAATACCAGGTCAAAAAATTGTGAAGTTTTAGCAGGCGCGACATCAGGGTTTGGCAGTACACCCTCTCGTTGTTGTTTTGGAATAAAATAGTTTATTCTGATCGGAATAAATGCCACGGATAGGCAGTAGGACTTGCTTTCGCAAACGGACTTAATTTGAAATTTGCTAAAACCTTCGTCGATAATATTACTAAAAGAAAGAGGGGCAAAATCCCCAAAACTTCATTGGATTATTCAAAAATTTCAAAAATATTTAATCATTACCAAATGTTCGGTTGGGCAATTACTTATTTTTTGTATCGTGGTAGAGGAGTGCTTACTATAGTGCATTGGCCCGAAACGCTGAGATGACGATCTGTGCAAAGTCCGCAATTAAAGTCTTCTGATTCAAGATAGTTGAAGAACAATGCTTGTTCTTTTCCAAAAATCTGGAATGGTCTAGAAGAAATTTGAACACTTCCATTTACAGTTGCAAAAATTCCCATCAGAGAATTCAGAAGAGTAGTTGTCCAGCGTACATAAACTTTTGATAAATTATCATCGGACAGGTACATTTGTATTGGAGCGGATTTTTATAAGCACCCTTGATCTCGAACGCCTCAGACCGGTGGGCACTCACTTCGCCCGTTTGTATATTCTGCCGAAGATCCACAAGAATGATCCATCAATTTGTCTGATTTTGGACATGCGTAGCACGCCATATCATGCGATAGCGAAGTGGTTAACCTAGAAACTTAAACTTTTACAGTATTAGCTGCCACCACGTAGCTATCGAGACACGTTCGAATTTTTCTTCGAAATTAAACCATGAACTTAAACAACACGATGTCACTCTTTCCAGACGTCACATCGCTGTTTGCGAACCTCTCGCTCAGCAAGACAGTTAGTTACATTTGCGAATTCCCATTGCCAAGTCAACTGCAACTAGGAATATTCATGGATGTACTTAAAGAACTACTACTAAGATGCGCATTATATGCACTATTCCTTTTTGAATATCAACTGCACAGCAGTAGATGGCGTTGCTATGAGTTCGCCTCTTGGACCTTTCTAAGTCTTCATAGGCAAACCAGAGAAATTTCAAACTGAGCGACGACATTAACCATCACTGCAACAGAAACCGATGTACACGAACTCTTAAATGCTGTCACCCAAGCACACCCATCCACTAACTTCACGTTAGAGTTGGAAACGGCAGGTTTGCTTCCCTTTTTAGACGTTCGTCGAAGTCAAAGGCCTGGTGGTAGCGTCCGAAGAAGTGTTTATCGAAAGAAAACCTGGTCTTGATAATATACAAACTATAGCAGTTTCGTACCCATCACTCACTTGCTCCTGTGGAGCAGGTTAGATTGGAGACAATAGTCGGCGCTCTTCCAAAAAAATAAGGGAACACCTTCCATTATAGCTGAGAAAAGGTTAAGTAATGGGCATAAACGGTGCTATCCTCGCGTAAATTGAGGATTTCGGACACTGTATGGACCCTAATTAAGTCTTCCGGATTATTTATAAGGTCTCACTGAACTACTCCAAGTCTTTGGGTCAGCGACTGCTAGAAACAGCAGAAGCGACCGCCACCAGGTTGTCAGAGCCGGTCTTGTATGCAAAAAACAAACCTGTAAGCTTCGCGTCTGGCATGACCAACGGTCGCTTAACTGTGCTCTTCTGCGCTCTCTATTTATCTCCCTTCTCTGGACTGGCTCCACCAAATCCACTCCGCCTCGTCACCGGCCTTCTCTTATCAAATTCTATCGCCTATTTCCGAGGCTCATTTGTATAATGAAACGAACATTATTGACCGCGTGTTTACCTTGTACTTTGTTCCCATATAACTTTACTGGCCCGATAGGAATTTATCGGAAGATAACCTATGCTCGACAACTACTCTTCTGACTTTCCCTTATTATTATGATTATTTCTTGCTTGTTTCGAAGTTTTTTATAAAAAACTTATTTCATTTTTATAACACCACCTGCGAGTGAATATCCACGTACTTTTTGGATCGTTTTTAAGTCGTACAGCTTTTCATCAGAGAATTCAGAAGAACATTTGGCGAGCATACGTAGGCTTTCGATAAATTCTCATCGGGTCATTTCATTTATATGAGAACATACGTACTTATGCTTGCAACATTTCTTCTTAATGCACTGATTTCTGTCCAACTCATGGCCATGAACTTTTATTTCACTGTTTGCCATCTAACTCTTTCACGTCCCTTATGTATTTTGACGCAGTTTACACTTTACTTCATTTTGCTTAATAAATAATATGTATTCTCAATTAAGTAAACCCGAAAGAATTGGGCCACCACCGAACAGTTACAACGAGGATCCGCACTCACTGCGTATATTCCGAAATGAGGGCGTTATTCCGACCTACAAAGGACATGTTCACCGTACGTTCTACCTTCAGCCTTTTCACTTTACTCATCGTGTGCTCATAACCTAAGGCTTTTGTTCGTTGGGTGCGAATTATCTGTCAAGATTGTGTTGAACCTAGGTGCGCCTAAAGTTCATATATTGGGGTCGTTGAACTTTCTACTCTGACTGGAAGCTGAACCGCGAGAAAGAGTCCTGATTTAGTCATTCGACCTAACGCATTCTTTTATGTTATCTACTGGTTTCGTGCATTTACTGAGTGGATTTTCAGATTAAAATTGACACATACGTATTACCTATTATGTTATATGTACCGTTAAGAACAACTTTTCATGGTGGTTGAAGTATTTACCTTTAATATCTAGTGATAGCCCGTACTTTATGGCTGATGGATTGAGGCTGTAATAACCGTTGTTAAACTGAAGCCCTACTTCGACTCGTGGAGAATCTGCCTGCCATTTATTTCCTGGATGGTTTTTTTTAGGGACATACCCTTTGGTAGTCTTCACTGAGATCAATAACGTTCACACTTTGACTTTTTGCTAGTGCACAGCTTATGGCTAATTTTTATCGCCGCTAAGGTGCACATTATTACTTATAAAGTTGTTGCAATATTTGCCACACAGACAGCACAAGTACTAGCTAAAAATTCAGATATCTTTTTTGCCGATATTCATATCAACTTTAAGAGCCAGCCTAATAAGCTTTATTACGTGGAACGTTCTCCAGTTTATTGCATTAAGTTGTAAGGAAATTGAAGGTTGGAATTTAAAAACTGTAATATCTACCAGAAAGCCCAGGGGATGCTGCGGGACCTGCTGTTATACCAAACTTCTGGAAACTGTGCCATGCGATAGGAAAATGTAGAAGAAACACGCGTCTGTCCTCTTATCCATACGTATGCTGTCGCTATGTTAAATTATGCACTATTTTTAAAGTACCGGTCGCTTATTGGCAGTTTATGAATACCACGCGGTTATCTTGCTAAAGCTGATGGATTTCCACTCCCAGTTGCCGCCTTAATTTATTAGGAGATAAACAAGTTCAAATTGTTGATTTCGCACTGATATCAGGCATTGAGAGGAAACAGAATCTTCCTAACTGCTTGAGACCCGCTCTACTGGCCCTACACGCCATTATCTTATGGAGGGTTACAAAACGGACTACAGAGCCTCGCTGAAAATAGTATTCAAAACATTGATATGCTGCTAACGGTACAACAGGCCAAACGCAGACAGCTGTTTCAGGGTTTTTACCGATAGTCAGTTCTTCATAAGGCCTATGGCGTACTGAAAATTGGTAACAAACGTGAAACAGCTATCTGCGTTTGGCTTGCTGCACCGTTAGCAGCATATCGATGTGGCATGTGTCTTTTGGCACAACGTTCGTTATCGCAAGTAGCAAGCTGGCCGACGGACACCTGCCGTT